ACGTTAAAGAAGGCGAATCGTATATATTTTAGAAAAGATATATATAAGTTAGTAGTTAAAGAAATAGAAAAGTAAGTTTATCTATAATATACGCTTAATATATACTAATAGTATATTAGTTTTTACAATACTTATTATAAAATTTAGGATAGAGTAAAAGAGAAAGGCACTTATTAGATACTTAGATCGGATATACGCTACTATTAAGAGAACTAGTTCAAAGTATTCTTAAAGAATAGAGTAAGTATATAACTATTATATTTATTATATATACTAAGCTTATACTACGTTGTAAGAATCTTTCATTAGGTATATAAAGAGTTCCGATTTCGAACTATAGTATAAAGTAACCCTTCTCCTACGTTATACGTTACGCTTAAATATTAAATATTTGTCGTTCTTAATAAAGTCTAGTATACGTAAAACTTATAATAAGTATATATAAATTAGCCTTCGAGAATAGAAGAGGAAATACTATAGTAAGTATACGCTATAAACGTATTCTATATATACTAATAATATATAAAGTATAATTATCCTACTATACTAAAGTAGACGAAGGTCTAAGGATACAATATAAAGTTCGATCTCTACTTCCTTAAAAATATATCCTAGCACCTATATTATCTTTTAGTTATACGCGAAGTATATATTTACTATATTTCTTTTCCTTATTAGTTGCTAAAAGAAGTAGTAGACGACGTACTTAAAACGATTTAGAAAAGTAATATCTTAATACTAATAATACGTAAGTTTAGTATATCGTTAACGTATTCTCTCTATATATTAAGTATATACTAATACTTTATTTAAGTCGTTTCTTATTATTACTAAGCTATTAAGCTCTTCTTCGCAGATATAATACAATAACTATTCGAATAATCTACTCTAGTTTAAATATAGAGGATCGAGTTACTTGTTTAATTCGAAAAGAGTATATTTTACGTTACTTAGCTAGCTACTACTTTATAAGTACGAAGTCTAAGAATAGTAGATACGTAGTATATACTAAATATATTTAGGTATTCTTCGAGAGTTTAACTTCGATTAACTTCGAGAATATACAAAGTAGTAGATCCGATATATCTACTACTTTAATAAGCAATATTAGGCTATTATATACTATATATATACTTAAGCTATAGCGTTTAGAAAGGCTTAATATATCTAAATAAATATAGCTTTTAAGATAGTTTAAAGTAATATTAATATATTCTTGTTTACTAGAATAAACGAAGAGATTTAGCGTACGTATAATATATACTTATCGTATAGAATATATATATTAATAGTTTATTTAGGTACTAAGGTTTATATTTATACTTAGATTAATATTACCTTAACTTAAATATATACTTAGCTCTTTAAACTCTTATTCTAAACGTTAGAGAACGTTAGATATTATCTAATTCGGTTTTAGTATATTTACTACGTTAACGAAGCTATTTAAATAGTTACAATAAATATAGACTTATTATAAGTAAAAGGTATAGCTAATATATACTAAGTATATACTATATATATCTTACATATACTAACTATATTAGGCTTTAGCGAATACCTTTACTTAATCTACCTTAGATTTATATAAGAAGAATATATTAAGTATATACTTATCTTCTACTAAGTATATATTCAACGTAATCTAAAGTAGAAATATAAGTTATACCTAACACGGTTTCTAATTAATAAGCTTTAAGACTTTAAGATACGAAATTAGCATAAGTAGTATATAGTTTGTATATATACTAAGTATCCCAACTTGAAATCTTAGTTTGCTACTAAAACTAAGTTATAAATTACTACTAAACTCGTTAAAAGGCTTTCGAAATTATAAGCTATATAGTAAATATATACTTAGAAGTATACTAATATTAGCGAATCTACTTATTACTCTAATAATAAAGTAATTAGTTAGAAACTAATACTTTTTACTACTATCTTAAGGTAAGTATATACTAAGCGTATTATTTATACCTACTTACCTTATATATAAGATACGTTAATATATTTTTAATTCCTTTAATCGAGCTCGAATCTAAACCGAAGAAAGAGTCGACTAAAGATATCGTAATAATAGTAGTTCTTAATAATACTATTAATTAATTATTCGGTAAGAGACTTAATACTAAAGGTAAGTAGCTTAACGTTAAAACAACGATTTATTACTATAGAATCCTTTAAATACGTTCGATATACCTAAGACATCTACTCTATATATACTTAACCTCTTCTCTAAAGACGTAGATAATATATCTACTATAAGTAATATAAATATATATATTACTAAGAATACTTTTCGTAGAAGAAAACGAATAAAGCAACTTAGATTTGTTTCTTAACTTAACGAAGATATAATATTACTCTACGAATAGGTAATATATACTAAGTATATTCGTTACTTAGAGGAAAAGCGAAACGAACTTCTAATAAAGAAGAAGAAGAGATTATAATAGCGTAAAAAGGTAGAATTACTAGCTAAAATTAAAGTATTAGAGGCAAAGGTATTAGAATAGTAATACAATACAAAGTTATTATAAGTTAAAAGTATACTATATATATACTAAGAGTAGATATTATTTCAACTAAAAATTAAATAAACGCTTAAGTCTTTAATCCCCCTATATATATTTAGTATATACCCTTAGTATTTACAACGAATACTAAGTATATACTTAAGTAATATAATTAGCGGTAAAATAGCTAAAGTAGCGAAGTATCGCTACGATATAAGCTATTATTAAGTTAATATATACTCGGTATATATAACGCTTATATAATTATTATAATAAAAACTTACGTTACTTATAAGTAGGTCGACGTTTAACTAGAAAACGAAAAGATATTAAAACACGTCTAGTATATGCTAAGTATAAGTAAGGTATATACCTATAGCAACCGTAAAAGATAGTAAGCTATCGTCGTTATTATTACGGCGAGGAAGTATACAACTACGCTAAATATATAGTTAACATATACAAAATATCTATCCAATTGAAATATTATAAACCTTACGTTTACTAGACGACTATAAAGTAGTAGGTATATTCTATATATCTAGTTACTATATACTTAATATAAGTAGTAATATAATATAAGTTAAATAAAAATATAATAGATTAGTTCCTCTTTAATTAAGTTAATTAGCTAGCGATAAAATAAGAGAAGTAGTATATCATAAATATATACTCGGATAAGACTAAGATTAGATTTAAACCTTCGAAGATTTAAGACGGTAAAAATAAGCAAACGTAAGATTAGTAGAAGTGGCGTAAGTACAAAGTATATACTTAGCATAAGTAGCTTATTACTAATAACTTACTAGTTACTAGCAAATTGCTAATTAATAAGCTAATTAGTAATTTCCTAATTATTATCAAAGTCTTATTAACGTTTTTATTACTAAGTATATACTCGCCGTAGTTGTCGTAAATGAGAAAGATATAGTATCTACTAAATTAATAGGTAAATAGGAAAATATTAAATGCAAATATAGTATATAGTTAATATATATATAGTATAAACTTATGTAACGATAGAACTTTATTCCAAAAGTAATTACGAAATCCTAATCGCAAAGACTAAGATCGTCAATATAATATTAGTATATATTAAGTATATATTCAACTTACGCTAAAGTTTCGAAGAAGTCGCAATATACGCCGATTAAAGACGCTTAAAGGCTACGATTATATCTATTAGTTATACATATATTAAGTAGATACTAAGACTTACCTTAGTTTATATAAGAACCGATTATTATACTACGTACGAGATAAGATATAGTACTTAAGGGTACTATATATAGTTAATATATACTTAATATATACGCTATTGTAGATATTTACTTCTCGCTTACAATTTCTTTAGCCCTAGTGAAATTGTTACGTATTAGGTTTATTATTGCAACGTATTTAGCATATACTAAGTATATATTCTAAATACGATATACTTATAAGTACTAAGGTAGGCTTATCAAATATAGCATCGTAGCTAATTTAAGTTAAAAGTAGTATATATAAAGTATATACTAAACTATAATATATAAAGGGTTAGTCTCTAAGGCAAATGCTATATTACTAGTCTTTATTAATAACAATTATATATTTACGAGAGATTTAATATATACTCGGTATATACTAAATAGAATCGATACTTATACGAATATATTTATTCTTAAAAGAACTTCGGTAGTATTAGAGGGATCTAATAGTTAATATATACTTAGTATAAGTCGTATATAGTATAGTTATCTTACTAGCGTTATCGGCGTAGCTAACTAAGGGAGCTAAGCATAGCGTTAGTATATACTAAGTAACGTTACTTAATATAAAACTTACAACGACTAAGCTTAACGTAAGTAGCTTAACTTAGGTATATAGTTAGTATAAGATTATATGAGAATATTAATGTATTACTTATAAAGTAGTATCTAGCTGCGATTATAGTTTAGAACTAAACTTATAGGTATTAGTATATACTACGTAAATGCCGTAGTAATATTATACATATACTTACTATAATACTAGCCGAACTAGGATAAATTAGTAGCTGCAGCTACCTTTAAGTTATTAAAATTAATATATTATATAATTATAACTCTATTTAAGTATATAGTTAGCATATACCGAGTATATACGATACGAAATAATAATTATATTAATTAATATATACGTTAACGATATAATAATATTAAAGGAAAGAAAAAAAAAAAAAAAACAAACGTATAAGTATAAAGTATATTTATAATTGCTGTTATTTCTCTATATACTTAGATACATAAGAAGTAACGCCGACTTCGGATTTACAGTAGTATTATCTAATTAGGGAAAACCGTACAACAAATGAAAACTTCATAGTAAGCACAGTATAGCCTATTAGCTAAGACACAGTAACCTTTATCCCAGTATGAGCCACAGTAGGAGCTACAGTATTGGTTGGAATTTTACGTCGATTCCCCACGACGGGAGTCAATTCCGTAGAAAAAGCCTTTGGAATTTTGCCCTTCTAGGAATCGAACCTAGCACCTCTCAATTTGGGTGATTAAGAGGTCCACCCAGCGCTATGACCATTGCGCCACAGGGACAAGTATAGAGTATATATTAGCCTAATTATCAATAAACGCGTTAAGTATATAGTATAGAATACGTCTTAATTATAAAGCTAATACGCTATAACGTAAGCGCTACAAATAAATTATCTATATAATATATATTCTAAGTATATACTAAGCTAGGTAGGTCTACTACTTTATTAACTTTTGGAAATCTACAATTCCTACTACCTTATCAACTTTTTCTACCCCCCTATCATCTACAACCTCTCGCCGAATAGGGCGGTGATTAGAGTGCTGTTCAGATTAGCGCTTAAGGCACGTGGGCCGAAAAGGGGCGGTAGTGCATTTGGCACTGCAAGCTACACCATGGATTCCATACTGACGAGAAGACCAGCTCCGCTTGCATTGCCTTGATGTGTTGAAGTACTAAACGACCATACACATGAGGCAAAGAAGGTAATTGCGATCTTCCTTGCTTTTCCCGTGAAGCAAGAATGCCGAAGCCACCTCTCTCGGCGATGTCGACTGAAGAGCACGATTTGCGAAGCTGATATGAAACCAGATAGAGTTCTATTGACACGTTCTATTGCAATACAGAGGAGTGCACGCTACTTCTTCTCAGTCGGCTCTTCATCTTCTTTTACATCGTGCTCATATAGCCTCCTAAGACACCCGCTGAGGCAGTATCATCGGGCATCATCAGCATCTTCATATCCCACACGTGGTTGACATGTGTGTACTGACGATATCCATTCCGACTCCCGAGCAATAGGTGCAGCCTTCAGCACGTCGAAAAGCTGCGATTCAATTAGCGGTGTGCTGCTGAATGCTGATCAAAGTGGTTGTAAGAACGTACCCCATCTCCTGTGATATACTCTCGCTTAACATGAATGCCTAGAACTCGGCCAATGACGATGTCAGAGTTGGCAACTAGGTGAGGGCCAAAGGTCGTCTTGACGTCTTCCCATGAGGCTCCTTTGCAACGCGGACGATACTGTGAACGCAGCACTCGAATGAGACCGGCGATTCGGCCACGCGCGGGGACAGACGAGGCACGAGGCATCCTTGTTGATTTTGCTTTCCTCAAATTCGTCACCTTAGGTCTCGAGATATGAGACGTTTACGGCATCGCGCAGTTCATGGCTGGATGCGTTAGGTTATGCACAATGATGCAGTTGGGACTTGACTCGGTCTCGATGCAGTTCAGAACTGTGTCCTTCGAGCGTCTTTTGTACAGAGACTGGTGGCTAACAATCTATACAGCTGTCAGTCTCTTTCTTTGCATATACTCGTTTTTGACAATGTACAGCGACTGGTCTCATAATTTCAACCCTTCTTTCCCCAACGACAACCATAGCCACTCCACATACTCTACGTTAATTGCCGACATACCTTGACATTTGCACCCTTCGCCTCATGCGATAGTTTAGAAGAACTTCGCCGTAGTGGTAGGGTAGAGAATCACAACGGTGCGCACGGGCTGCCTATCCAGAAGCCCGTGCGTCAGCGGTGATGGGACGATGACCTCCAATGGCATCGTACGCGTGAGCGACACCATTGCGGCGGCGGGTGGTTGCATTCGTCAACAACTACTCATCCTGATGCAGTTAAGCTATCATCAATATCACTGTTCTTAACAATTTGTCCCAAAACCTAGCTTAGCTGCTCTCGTTCATACACTTTTCTCACTCGCAACTTCCTCTTCCGAGATACTTTCTACTTCTTCGGCCAACATACGATCAAAATCTTCCACCTCGTGTAGTGCTCGACTCTGTGCTTCTTGCCTATTACTAGGCCTTCCCTATCTGTTTATTTTATCGTTAGGGAGGTGTAGCTCGGTGCCTACACCTCAACGATCTAGGTTTCACACAACTTCAACGCCTCAACGCTTCAACGCCATATCTTCCTCGTCAATCTTTCCTCGCTATCCTCACGGGCTTTTCTTGTAATCTCAGCAATCAAGCCTTCCACCTCACGTCATCTACCTCGACGCGTTCTTTTGATCTCGCGGCTCGTCTTCTCACGGCGTTGATCCCTCCACTGTTCAATGTCGTATCTGCTATCATCCAGCTATTTCTTGCCCAACCCGACGTACAGTAAGTATCTTTCATCAATTTTGATATATTCACGATGTCTTTCCTTCCTACCGTTTCACTTTAGACTGACTGACAGACACACGAATTAGGCTTCGTGCGCATCGGTAACAATGGCTCCCAGTGTACATCAGGCGGTACTCCAGAACGACCTCAACCTCGTTAGACATCTTCTACACCGCAAAGGGTCCTTGCTAAATCTGCAGGATGCTTACGGAGCGACCCCTTTGATGCTCGCTGCTATGATTAGGTCGGCCAAACTTGTCACGTTTCTGCTCCAAAAGGGAGCATTGTGGGATATCAAAGACTACCACGGTCATACTGCCGTAAAGTATGCGGACGGCAGGTATGCTCAGAAAATGCGAGAAGTGCGATACCGCAACTTCGTCAACCGTGGCAGACACAGCTCGACGAGGTGAGGTTGATACATATCACAAGAACGCACCGTATCGAACCAATCAGTCCGGGACTCTATCGTTCCAACGTCACAGAAGATCCCTACGAATCTTCAAACTTATCAAGAAAGTCAAATTAGTTGGTAAGATAACTCGACAGACAACTTCCGCATGCATCGCCCCTGGAATCACAACCAGGCCTCAGATGTCCGCAGTCAGTGGCTGGACAGCTACGAACCCGAACTCACCCAATCTGCTTAATGGAAGCAAGTATACCTAGGTTGTCAGAGATATAGCCAAGTTGCTTGGTTTCAATCTGCCAAAACATTGCTACGACTCGCCCCGTCACGATCCTGCTCCTGGGCCGCATAATGAGGGACGCTATCACGCCGTACGTACCTCGCCCCTGGACATTCGTCTCTTTTCCCTTTGCTAACGCTTGTCCAGAGCCACTGCGAGAAGCTTCTCGCGGGATATTGGGTGACAGAACAGCTCCAATATGCATTTGGTTCCTCCGACCTATCACGCATGCGTGAGCTGAAGAACGTCGACCTTCCAGACTCCAGAGCAACGGAAGAACGCCGCTCTGTTCCTTGATCATAGGCCTTGTATTCCCTGTTTGCTGTTCCTAGGGGAAATTCAAAGGGCTACTGGCATCAAGGTCTGCGCAATTCCTCAGGCATCGGTTCGCGAGGTCTCGCGAAACGAGAAACGCGGCGTCTGTGAAAATTGCACACGCCCGAAGTGCGCAAGTGCTGGGACGAAGCCAGTGAAGAAGCGGCAGCCCGCCGGCACAACAATCGCAACAACAATGCCAGACCATCTATCCGATGACACCACCTTCGCAGACTCCGAGCGTATTCCACCGGCGAATTTTGCTCAACTACTACAGAGAGCTACAAACCGGCCAGGAACCCCAGCCCCTCTAAGAAGGCAGACCAAACCAGAGACATGGCTTGAATATCCAAACAATGTTTGGAAGCCTCCTCGTGATCCAATACTCGAGGAGAATTTCCGATCTGATTACTTGCCCAGCTCTTACTGTCGATGAGGGTCGCCTTCATGACGCCGGACAACAACACCGTGCTCCTAAGCCCCGCCCTGCCATCAACCGCGTCGACAAGAGAGAACACGGAAAGCCGAGGAAGAATAACAAGCCCGGCATGAATAGAAACGAGAATGAGCGTCGACGCTGCCGTCGGAGGAAGTATAACAGTGTGCTAGCAATACGGAGCGCTCTTGCAGGCAACGCGCGGCTTCGGGGCTTTCTATTGCAACATTTTTCGGAACCAATGCCTGTGTTTTCTTTTTTTCTTTTGAGATGTTGTGTTCACCAACGGGTGTTTTGAACGAGCTGGTCTCTTCTTTGCCGCTCATCCCTTCCTAGCCTTTCCTCTTTTGTCCGCTATCTAGGAGTCTGACCCGAAAGACCATGTCTATTGGGGTCTTGTGATGACGAAGGCTACGGCCCCCCGCCCGCTCTCTCTTGTATATTGCTGCCGACCTGTGCTGGGTGTTCCCTTGGTATACCTGAGTGTAGATAAGACTTTGGACCCCGGCCTAACGTTGCTTGAGCGCTGGTCTTGCTTATGGAGGTTGATGTAGAGACATCGGGTCTTTTTATGATGAAGGAGTCGTTGAGTCTATGTTGTCCACCGGTGTTGGTACCCTTACTTGCGGTACAGAGGTCCAGATTGATGCGCCTTTTGCCGTATTTGAGAGACGTAGAGGACGTCTGGTTATACGGGTGGATCTGTGATGAGGTTGTGGTCGTGAGGGCCGATAAGGAAGAGGAGGTACCGAGCCGTACGTTGCCACGACTCCGTCCCAGCGGCATTTTGGTCGAGTCTGTCTGTGCTAGCCTATACCGAACGGCTCATCTTGGTGGGAATCGGCAGCCGCTGGCTCTATCACGTTCATCTGGATCTAAGCTCCGTTGTCCCAGCTATAGAGGTCGGCAAAGGAACGGAACAGGGTGCTGTCGTGTTAGTCATTGAGTACTTGTGCGATATGTGATAGGATAGGAGAGACGTGGACGAGGATGGTATGGCTGGAAGGAGTGGTGATAGCTGGAAGGAGTGCATGGACTCTGTTACTGATATGGGGGATAGATAGGCCCGACTGATTGAGATCAGAGGCGGGACCGGTGTGCGCGACGAACCACCATGGATGGCTGGATGAGCTGAGGTGTTGCTAGGGGGATTACGACTGGGGAGTGGTTTGGCCGGAGTTGCTCCTAATACAATACTGTGGGCGACTTGCGGTGTAGGCTTGGCTGACATCAAGTGACACGTGTCAAAAGGGTCAAAGGTATGAGTCTTCTACGAAAGGTTGATTAGGCAGAACAGAGGCTGTTGTCGATGTTCGAGGAGCTGTAATAATGTGCTATCCCGGCAATTTACGTATATAATACCCGGTGATAAGTGCACTTGATCTTTCCAATATCTTCCAGCAGTTTTCTAGGTACCTCTCTCTCGGTCTTTGAATAATCACCATAGTTTTAACTATGAGATCGATATACTTACTCACTACCCTATCCCGT